AACCAGAATGGGGGCCAGGGGAAAGAGGCGCAGCCGCCACGCTTATCCAGAATAGGGGGCAGGGGGTACAGCCACGCTTATCCGGTGCCAGGCGAAGAGGTGCAGCCGCCACGCTTATCCTCAACCAGAATGGGGGCCAGGGGGAAGAGGCGCAGCCGCCACGCTTATCCTCAACCAGAATAGGGGCCAGGGGGTACAGCCGCCACGCTTATCCTCAACCGGTGCAGCCGCCACGCTATCCTCAACCAGAATGGGGGCCAGGGGGAAGAGGCGTAGCTGCCACGCTTATCCTCAACCAAAATAGGGGCCAGGAGTACAGCCGCCACACTTATCCGGTGCCAGGCGAAGAGGTGCAGCCGCCACACTTATCCTCAACCAGAATGGGGGCCAGGGGGAAGAGGCGCAGCCGCCACGCTTATCCTCAACCAGAATAGGGGCCTAGGGGGTACAGCCGCCACGCTTATTCGGTGCCAGGCGATGAGGTGCAGCCGCCACGCTTATCCGCAAAACCAGAATGGGGGCCAGGGGGAAGAGGCGGCAGCCGGCCAAGCTTATCCTACAACAAGAACAGGGGGCCAGGGGGTACAGCCGCCGCTTATCCGGTTGCCAGGCGGAAGAGGGCCGCGCCCCGCTTATTCCTCAAAAGAATGGGGGGCCCCCAGGGGCGAAGAGGCGCTAGCCGCCACGCTTATCCTCAACCAGAATGGGGGCCAGGGGGAAGAGGCGCAGCCGCTACGCTTATCCTCAACCAGAATAGGGGACAGGGGGTACAGCCGCCACGCTTATCCGGTGCCAGGCGAAGAGGTGCAGCAGCCACGCTTATCCTCAACCAGAATGGGGGCCAGGGGGAAGAGGCGCAGCCGCCACGCTTATCCTCAACCAGAATAGGGGCCAGGGAGTACAGCCGCCACGCTTATCCGGTGCCAGGCGAAGAGGTGCAGCCGCCACGCTTATCCTCAACCAGAATGGGGGCTAGGGGGAAGAGGCGCAGCCGCCACGCTTATCCTCAACCAGAAGAGGGGCCAGGGGGTACAGCCGCCACGCTTATCCGGTGCCAGGCGAAGAGGTGCAGCCGCCACGCTTATCCTCGATCAACCAGAAGGGGGGCCAGGGGGAGGCGCAGCCGCCACGCTTATCCTCAACCAGAATAGGGGCCAGGGGGTACAGCCGCCACGCTTATCCGGTGCCAGGCGAAGAGGTGCAGCCGCCACACTTATCCTCAACCAGAATGGGGGCCAGGGGGAAGAAGCGCAGCCGCCACGCTTACCCTCAACCAGAATAGGGGCCAGGGGGGTACAGCCGCCACGCTTATCCGGTGCCAGGCGAAGAGGTGCAGCCGCCACGCTTATCCTCAACCAGAAGGGGGCCAAGGGGGGAAGAGGCGCAGCAGCCAACGCTATCCTCAACCAGAATAGGGGTAGGGGGTTACAGGCCGCCAGCTTATCCGGTGCAGGCGACTCAAGCTGAACGCGCTGGAGGCGGGACGGGAGGGCTCGCCCGAACAAAGTGTTTGTCTTATACTAACCAATAATGGGGTCTCAGGTGTTCAGTCTCAAGCTGAAACGAAGCTGGAGCCGCCACGGGGGCTTTTTTATCTCAAGTAGAAGGGGGGCGGGGGCGCGCCCATCCCCACATCCCTTGTTCCCGGGTTCGGCAGTCTGAGGACGTGGGCGATGAAGGCCCAATTCCCTGACACATACCGTGTTGAGCTGTGGCAGAAGGCCAAAACGGGCGGGGCATGTCCAGCCGTCGTCTCTTGGATTCAGATCGTTGCCAGCAGGTAGCCTATCTGTTGCCTTAGTGAAAGTGCACAGCGCAGCCCCAGAGAAGTCCTGCTTCACGACCTGGACAGCAGTCGCATTGGACCGATCTGCCTGGATGCCACAAAACTGGCGTTGGGCGGGGATGTGATCACGGATGCCTGGAGTTGGGATGAGCTCTTGGATCGCAGCTTGAGCGATAGCACCGTGCACGTGCACGTGGTCTTCAATTCCGAGCAGTCCAACGGCCGACAGTCCTAGAGCTCCAAATCTGAGCCGCGCGGAGAGAGAATACGAAATGTGCCCCAGGACTGCAGCAAAATGAAAGGGTCAGAGCCACCTGAACCTGAACATGGTCTTATTGAGCTTCTGCACGTTGTGCAAGGTTGCTGCAGCCAGGTGAAAAGGTCAGAGCCGCCCGAACATTACTTTCTTGAGCATGTTGTGCAAAATTGAATTCCTGCCTTACGCGTGCTGAGGCTTGGGCAACCCCGCAGCTTTTCGGCAGTCAGCCCCAGTTGAACTAAACCAATTCGGTAGACGTCATGGCCCCCTGCCAGCGATGCGGCTTTGGCATCAGAAGCGGCAGAGGCAGCGGATGGTAAGAACGGGCTGCAAAAGGAGCAGGCAGGCGAGGGCCCTTGCCCAACGAGGACAGCAAGAAAGCAGAACGGCGACAGTCGCATGAGGCAAGAGCCCGGGGCGAAGCAAAGAGGCACAGCCGCCACGCTTATCCTCAACCAGAATGGGGGCCAGGGGCAAGAGGCGCAGCCGCCACGCTTATCCTCAACCACAATAGGGGCCACGGGGTACAGCCGCCACGCTTATCCGGTGCCAGGCGAAGAGGTGCAGCCGCCACGCTTATCCTCAACTAGAATGGGGGCCAGGGGGAAGAGGCGCAGCCGCCACGCTTATCCTCAACCAGAATATAGGGGCCGGGGGGACAGGCGCAGCCGCCACGCTTATCCTCAACCAGAATAGGGGCCAGGGGGCACAGCCGCCACGCTTATCCGGTGCCAGGCGAAGAGGTGCAGCCGCCACGCTTATCCTCAACCAGAATGGGGGCCAGGGGGAAGAGGCGCAGCCGCCACGCTTATCCTCAACCAGAATGAGGCCAGGGGGTACAGCCGCCACGCTTATCCGGTGCCAGGCGAAGAGGTGCAGCCGCCACGCTTATCCTCAACTAGAATGGGGGCCAGGGGGAAGAGGCGCAGCCGCCACGCTTATCCTCAACCAGAATATAGGGGCCCCGCCACGGTTATCCTCAACCAGAATAAGGGCCAGGGGGTACAGCCGCCACGCTTATCCGGTGCCAAGCGACGAGGTGCAGCCGCCACGCTTATCCTCAACCAGAATGCTTATCCTCAACCAGAATAGGGGCCAGGGGGTACAGCCGCCACGCTTATCCGGTGCCAGGCGAAGAGGTGCAGCCGCCACGCGTATCCTCAACCAGAATGGGGGACAGGGGGAAGAGGCGCAGCCGCCACGCTTATCCTCAACCAGAATAGGGGCCAGGGGGTACAGCCGCCACGCTTATCCGGTGCCAGGCGAAGAGGTGCAGCCGCCACGCTTATCCTCATCCAGAATGGGGGCCAGGGGGAAGAGGCGCAGCCGCCACGCTTATCCAGAATAGGGGCCAAGGGGTACAGCCGCCATGCTTATCCGGCGCCAGGCGAAGAGGTGCAGCCGCCACGCTTATCCTCAACCAGAATGGGGGCAGGCCGGGGGAAGAGGCGCAGCCGCCACGCTTATCCTCAACCAGAATAGGGGCCAGGGGGTACAGCCGCCACGCTTATCCGGTGCCAAAGAGGTGCAGCCGCCACGCTTATCCTCAGAATGGGGGCCAGGGGGAAGAGGCGCAGCCGCCACGCTTATCCTCAACCAGAATAGGGGCCTAGGGGGTACAGCCGCCACGCTTATCCGGTGCCAGGCGAAGAGGTGCAGCCGCCACGCTTATCCTCAACCAGAATGGGGGCCAGGGGGAAGAGGCGCAGCCGCCACGCTTATCCTCAACCAGAATGGGGGCCAGGGGGAAGAGGCGCAGCCGCCACGCTTATCCTCAACCAGAATAGGGGCCAGGGGGTACAGCCGCCACGCTTATCCGGTGCCAGGCGAATCCTCAACCAGAATGGGGGCCAGGGGGAAGAGGCGCAGCCGCCGCGCTTATCCTCAACCAGAATAGGGGCCCAGGGGGTACAGCCGCCACGCTTATTCGGTGCCAGGCGAAGAGGTGCAGCCGCCACGCTTATCCTCAACCAGAATGGGGGCCAGGGGGAAGAGGCGCAGCCGCCACGCTTATCCTCAACCAGAATAGGGGCCAGGGGTACAGCCGCCACGCTTATCCGGTGCCAGGCGAAGAGGTGCAGCCGCCACGCTTATCCTCAACCAGAATGGCGGCCAGGGGGAAGAGGCGCAGCCGCCACGCTTATCCTCAACCAGAATAGGGGCCAGGGGGTACAGCCGCCACGCTTATCCGGTGCCAGGCGAAGAGGTGCAGCCATCACGCTTATCCTCAACCAGAATGGGGCCCAAGGGGAAGAGGCGCAGCCGCCACGCTTATCCTCAACCAGAAGAGGGGCCAGAGGGTACAGCCGCCACGCTTATCCGGTGCCAGGCAAAGAGGTGCAGCCGCCACGCTTATCCTCAACCAGAATAGGGGCCAGGGGGAAGAGGCGCAGCCGCCACGCTTATGCTGAAACAGAATAGGGGTCAGGGGGTACAGCCGCCACGCTTATCCGGTGCCAGGCGAAGAGGTGCAGCCGCCACGCTTATCCTCAACCAGAATGGGGGACAGGGGGAAGAGGCGCAGCCGCCACGCTTATCCTCAACCAGAATAGGGACCAGGGGGCACAGCCGCCACGCTTATCCGGTGCCAGGCGAAGAGGTGCAGCCGCCACGCTTATCCTCAACCAGAATG